CTCTCTCTCTCTCTCTCTCTCTCTCTCTCTCTCTCTCTCTCTCTCTCATCATTTTGCCAACGATGTCTCTCTCCAGATGTGAAGCCCTCCAATGTTCTGATCAACACTCAGGGCCAAGTGAAAATGTGCGACTTTGGCATCAGTGGCCACCTGGTGGACTCTGTGGCTAAAACAATGGATGCAGGCTGCAAGCCCTACATGGCGGTAAGTGGGGACTGGGAAAGAGACTCCTGCTGCCGGCTAGTTGAGATTTAGGATTCTCTAGAAAGTGACTGAGATTAAATCCACAGTCCAGGAGGATATTAAAGAGGTACAGCACACTTGAGCTGTAAACTAAATGCCTTTTATTTTGATAAAATACATCTATCTCATGACATTTATATTAAAAAAAATGTTGACGCCAAACATCTTGCCTGTATGAAGGAATGTAGGTTCACAAAACCAGCGCGTTATTTTAAATCCTCTCAAAAAACACATTTTAGCCGACAGATTTGTTCTTCAAATGTTCTTCCCCAATTATCTTTTGCATGCCTGTTTAATTCTTGAGGGAGTTTAATTCATATGAAAATAGCTTTTATCAGCTTGTATTTATGATCATCATTACTTCTTTTGTCGATTCATTGATAGAAAATGCATTTTAAGAAGTTGATAAGGCTTTCCTACAAACTACAGTGTAATGATTTTCAGATAGTGTCGGTACTTATTATGTTGCTATAATTTCTATTCCAGCCCGAGCGGATCAACCCTGACCTCAACCAGAAAGGCTACAGTGTCAAGTCAGACATATGGAGTCTTGGTATCACAATGGTGAGTATGGCTAAATGTCCATTAATGCCATTTGTGATACATTTCAGGCAAATTAATCCATGTTTTTTTTCTGCTCACGTTATCTAACTCTCACTGTTCTTTTAATTTGTTTAAATGTGGATAAAATCATGGTTGAAGCTCTCAAGATCTTTTTACATCACACTTAATATGACCACTCGGTTCAATGCAGTTAACACACGGGACTCCAACTGGCCACCTTCCAGTCGCAACCTTCTCCAACCGCTCCACTCCCCCAAAATACAATCGTGCACACAGCTCAGGACATCATAACAACAATATGTTAACCACCTGGACCTAAAATGTTGGTTCAAATAGTGAGTGAGGTTTTCCAACAGTAGTGCGCAGGATTTATCTCATTCATTCATTCACAGGATTATATTTCATATAAATATATTATTTACTCTCAGTTCAGGCTATGGTAACGAGTTTGGGTGTTTTTAAATAATAATACAACTCCATGTTAGTCCACACTCCCAACAAAAAAAACATTTTGTCACCCCGATAAATACAAGATGATAATCTATACATTTACTGAAAGAGGTTCCGTTACATGTAACTCATATTTCCACACTAATGCTGAGTCATGCTCACCGTTGACTGTTTTGACACCTGTGCCACGTTGATGCCAGATCAGTACAAGTCCATGCTGTTCTCAGTTAGTGTTGAACCTTTTTAATTCATTTCTGATTGTCCAAATGGTTTGTGTTGCAGGTGAAAGTGAGTCTTTTATCAGCATGTTGAATCGCTTCTCTGTCTCCTAGATCGAGCTGGCCATTTTGAAGTTCCCCTACGACTCGTGGGGAACCCCGTTCCAGCAGCTCAAACAGGTGGTGGACGAGCCGTCTCCACAGCTGCCCGCCGACCGTTTCTCCCCAGAGTTTGTAGACTTCATCTCCCAGTGGTGAGTCTCTCACACACACACACACACACACACACACACACACACACACACACCTCAATGCAATGCTCCTCGTTCACCTTGCTATTAAAAAAAACATACATACAATTTAAAAAGTGTCACTGAGGCCCAGCAGGGGTCAGTGTTTGCTCTGTGTTTACTGAACACGGTGGCGTTGGTACAGTACTGGAGCTGATGTCTATTTTTAGATGTGTTTTGTATGAAGTTATCATATAATTTTGGGATTTCCTGCTTTTCTCACTTTTGCATTTTGTCTCTTTTGTTCTTACAGCTTAAGAAAGAAGCCGAATGAGAGACCTGGTTATACAGAATTAATGGTTAGTAGTTTTACAATACTTTTCCTCTTCCCCCAAAACAACACAAATATTATCACGCGTTGTGCTACTTTGCCACAAAGATCAGCTCTGGTTCTTGCTTTTGTCCACTAGAGGCCAGACTCACCCAGTTAACCCATTGACACTCTGCCTTGTGTATTTACATCATCATTAGAGCATTCATTTGTTTAAGGACATATTCTGAAGTGTTTTGTCCTTGTTTTCCTGCAGCAACATCCGTTTCTCACCGTGCATGACTCCAAAGACACAGACGTGGCCACTTTTGTGAAGGTAATACTGGATGACTGATGGGGAGGCCCCCTGCGGGCCCCCCCGCCCATCAGGTTAGGCGGGACCTCTCAGCAAACAAACCAATGGCCTACCTTTTTTTTTTTTTTCTTTTTTTTTTTTAAACTCACTGGAATGACGGACTCTCAAGCACCCACACACACACAATAGGGGGGGGGGTAACCCCAAAGACTTACAGTAGCATTGGAGTGGGAGAGCGGCGGTAATATGAACTCGTACGGTCAAAAACCAACTGGAGAGGTTTAATTGGCTCCTCCAAGCTTCCTGTGTGTGCGATTATTCAACATGACAAATATGAACTGAACCAGATTTGTTGTTTTTCGTCTTCTTTTTTTCGCCCCGCAGCGCCTCTCCCTCTCTTTCTTTCTTTCTTTTTTTTTTTTTTTTTTTTTTTTTTTTTTTTTTTTTTTTTTTTTTTCAGAATGGACAGAGCCAGCCATCGTTTCTATGTGACGCATATTGTATGAATACTTTGAATATCATCTACAAAACCAACAGTTAATGTGTACCTTGTGTATTGAAATCTATATTTGCATATGTGTTTGTATGTTTTCTCATTATACAGAGTTTTTGATACTGTATATCGTCGACATGTGTGAATTTTACCGGACTGGGGCCTTATTTGTCAGATCACATCGGGGGGGGGGGGGACAGTTCCACCTGGTTCTGCTCTGAGGTGGCCGGGCCCAGGAGGCTCCAGAGCGAAGACAAATAACTTAAGAAATGTCAAAGGTCACATTCTGTACGTGATAAGAAGTCATAATGCAGGAATGTAAAGCGTCTCATATCACCTGATCCGATTGTGGTCCCAGCTGAGGGCCTTCATGCAGCGACCCCTCCGTACTCCTCGTCGTCTTCTCTCTCGGGTATTAACGCGTCGGCCTCAGTGCTGCCATTGTTACTACCTGGAGGTATTCAGAGGTTGCCTAATCAAGCTCACAGCTTTATCTCTTCCTGTGTGCCATTTTAGTCGTTCTCATGAATTACTGCATTAGTTGTGTTTTTCTCTTCTTTTCTTTTGGACTCGTTCAGTCCTGCATTTTGATTTGACTTTAGCAGCATTTATACTCATCCCTTTGCCTGCAGTTCTCAATTCTGGAGTCGGCATAGTCTTTTCATATGAGGCGCTTGTTTTTGGTTTTTTTTTGTTTTGTTTTTTTCTAGATTCCTTATTATGCATTACACAGACAGTATGTTAAGGAAATAATTTATATGTTGAAGATGTAAATACCATCTCCTTTTTTTTTCTTTTCTATGTAACATGGCACTGTCATAACTTGGCAGGGCACATGGGTGGTAGAGTGGTTGGTAGTTTAATGCAGCGTGACACACACACACACACACACACACACGTGTGTACTCACAGGGCCAGCTGACTACCGTACACCTATTTTGGACTGATGTGCTGTCAAGCTCCACCACTCAGGTTTCTGTGCTCTCCTTCACGCGGAGACGGCCCCATTTTGTTTTTTCCTCCAGCTCGCACTCTCCTCGAGTGCCGGACCGAGAGCCTTTTCTCAGTGCATGGTGGGCAGCCATTATCTCCTCTTGTCTGAGCATACTATGCAGAGCCCCTTCGCCTCGGACACGCGGCAAGAGGCCCTTGCCGTGTGGCAGTTTCGCCACGCCAAGTGTTCAGAGACTCTGATGGCGATGATGACTGCCGTGCCTCTGTTCATGGCTAGCACTCATCGCCCCTCTGGTTTACACTGTAGTGCAACCTTTATCGAAAGTCAGTGAGTTAGGAGTATCTTTGATTGTGAATAATAAGGGAAAGCTAGCAACACCACAGAGAAGCTGCTATTTCTATTTTATTTCTTTTGTCAGCCTTCTTTGGATGGCCATTCCCTTTGGTGTGTAAACGTGAGTTTTTACACTGATCACAGTGAGAATGAGAACACTTGCTCTACCTCTTACTCCTTCACTCTATTTGACACCTTTTCATTGGGTGGGACCGACAAACTTGAACTGTGGAAAGACAAAAAAAAATAAAGGCTTTATTGTTCAGTATGTCTGTTTTAAAGCTTTCCTTTCATGACTGATGCCAGTTTAGAAGTTGTTGTTCATGTGTCTGATGCAGAGATTACAACAATGTCCACGTTTAAAGGGTAAGGCAATATTCATATGTTTGTTATTGCCATGAAAAGACCAAAACAATGAAATGTATTATATGAAAAATGTCTACTGTTCACCTCGAAAATGTTGCCACAGTGATAACTATCCAGAATTGTAAAAGCCTTGAAACTCATGAAGCTGCTTCTTTAACTGGGCGTCTTGGATTGTATCTCACTGGGAGCAACATGCCCCCAACTTAATCAGCAGCTGAAAATAGTCCAAGTACACAGTGGACTCCTGTTTGAGGTAATGATGTTGCTGTTTTAGGTGTACCTTTACTTTTTTTTTCAGACCCATAACGGGTTCAGAATCTGGTTGGGCAAAGCTTTATACAGGTATAGCCTGTGTTGGGTACCACAGAACGTATTTTAAGTCATTTGATCTTGTAATTTGGTTGCTTCAAGCTAAAAATAAAGCTGATATCTAAAATGTTTTCTCTTAAATGTGATGGGGATGTTTTGCAGCGGAAAGCCTGCCTTGTCTTTTTTTTTTTTAATGGGTCTCTTTTGTCCGTGCATCTTGCCGTGTATGGTCGACCCACTTAGTTCCTAACCGTTCCACTTTAGCCTCTCGTTCCTTTCAATCAAGACAAGCTCTGCTGCAGCTGACTGATCCAGCTGATAGAAGGAAGCCAAGTCTTTGGGTTTCTATCTGCAGCGCGCTCTAATTCTCTCACTTTTCTGCCTCGTACACATGTCAGCAAGACCATGTTTTTCATCCTCACATGTGATACTGTAAAGAAGGTACAAATCCAATTATTACAATCCGCTCTTTATATCACAGTCTGCTTGTCTCAGCAATATTACAGTTTTCCATTTGTGTAAACATCCTTATGTAAGTACACAGAAGTGAACACGCACTTCTTGTCAAAGCTGTGGATCTTCCGGATGTGTGATGAATAGAAGAATCTCATTTTGATGGCTCTCTCTGAGTGCTTTTTTCAACGGAAGTTCATAAAAGCGTACTCTGAGCGGACTATACTCTGCTCCGAGTGCGTCTGTCAAAGACGGATGACTTCATGCCAGGATGAGAAAATTCAATGCCACATGTAGACTGCAGGCAGTGGGCCTGCAGTGTTGTGAAGAAGAGTGGTTTGCCAGCCAAACTGAAAGAAACTCTTTTTTTAGCAAAGAAGGTCTTTGATAATAATGATTACATAATGGCGCTCAAAAGATCGGCGTGTGAGGGGGAAAAAAATAGGCGACATCCAGTTGAATTACTGCCCCGGCTCGATTCAATGTGGACTGTGATGCAGAAGTGAATCACAACCTCTCTGCAAATGGGCATTTTAGACCCAGCAGGGTAGCTTTGAAAGTGAATGGTTGGGTAATTATGTCTTGTTTTGTACAAATTAACAAATGGATGTTCAAAATGCAACTAAGTACATTTACTGTAATGTACTTAAATACACAGAGGTACTGTGAAGTTACTTAACTTCACTATTTCCATTTTTTGCTGCTTTATACTTCTGATCCACAAAAGAACATTTTGTACTTTTCAATGCAATACAATTATCTGACGGCTTACTCTACACATTAAGAGTCTACATGAAATGTTTGCCTACAAAATATGATTAAACTACCCAACAGTATAGAAAATAGTTAGATATATGACAAAATGACATTAACAGTGGCATTTTTGCATTATGAGTACAAGTTAAATCCCAGCAGGACAGCGGTCTGTTTCCAGCCCTAAACAGGTGCGTAAGAGACAGAGAGATGATACTGTGGTTAGTTATCACACTTTGACTTAACCGGTCATGTGATTTATGTAGCTCGTGTCGCAAATCAGGGCTCGGTTTCTTGCTCTGCTCAGCCTTTACTGTTTTCTTTTGTTTATTTTTCTCAAGCAGGTCTGATCTAACAAACAAGTACAAGTGATTAAAACGGTGCCTATTTTTTTGCGCAGTGAAGTTTGGGAACTCTATTTGCTGTCGCCCCAAGGGACCCACAGATGGACAGAGGAGAGCCAGACGAGAAGTAAGTATGTGCGCTCCATTTTGGAATTATTTCCTAAATCTAATGCCAGATCTCACGATCTCCTGACCTGCCTATGTCCTGATGGAAATCCAACGGCGGCGTCTGCACACCACCTAACAACTCATTAGAGGGCCATACAATCATCCCCGCTGATGACTGCAATGTGCCAATTATAATCATCATGCATTGTGATTTGTAAATGGGTAAGTTGCGGGGACTCGTCCCAAATCAACCCTCCATGAATCTGTGTTCCCGGCCCCTCTTTCTCTCGCTCTGTTCCTTGCCAAGGAAAACATGGCCCTCAACGTGCCCTTAGATGGCAGACCTACAAGCAGCAGATGACGTTGTATAAGTTTCTCTTCTGCAGGGCAGGACACAGGGTGGCCTGTGGTGGAAAGTTAGAATGGGGTCCCTTTTCTGAGGAGGGTAAAAGAGCCTTTATGGAACCAGATCTTCTTAGGCCCTGGGCTGACACTGCACAACCTTATGTAACCTGCTCCATTATAGAGGGGCTCCTGTTGCACCGTGATTCTGGGTCTGGGTGTGGTGGAGGGAGGGAGGGGTAGTGAGCGTTAACGCGGACTCGGTCAGACATGACCGGTTGAGCAGCCTTGAGTAGTCTCGTTACGGTCGAAATTAGAGGGTGTCTGATCTCTACACATACATGCAAACATGCACATATTGTATGAAGTACACAAGAGAAAATGATACGTCACAACCCTTTTCAGAATTCTGAAATTTTCATAGATTTTTTTTCAAATCTTTGACTAAAGCAAGACTTCTTCCACCACTAGTTTAGAAGTTAGGATAGCGCCACCATTTCTCCATTTGGTAATTATTTGATGACTGCAATATTGGGTGAGATTCTCCATCTTCTATGAAAACTGTGGCTGAAATGAGATGAATGTGTTAAAGGATGATATGGACATTTATCAGTCCCCTGAGTAACTTATATTATTACTTAAAGGGTAGAAAAAGTGTTGAACGTCAATATAGGTAGTTTTATTTTAGTTTTAACACAATGTCAGTGCTATAATGCTGACGCTAGCGTTACTTAAAGTGTAATTCTGCAATGTTGGATGTAAACTTCCTTCCTTCCATCAAAAGCCTTCAGGGCAGTGCTGTGCTCTCTGCATTCAAAGGACTGGGTGACAAAGCAGACGCTATAGTCCATGAAAAAAAATCAGTTGCAGAAAAGAAAATGTCTCAGAGGAACTTCAGGATGAGGCAATTACATAATTACATTTTGATGGCATCTTTGAGAATAAAAAGTGGCCCGGCAATATCTGCTGCTGTATTTTTTTGTCAAGCCTCTCAGACTTCTTAACCCAGTTGGCAACAAGGATTACAGTTAGGATACAGCTCTTAAATGGCATCAGATACGAGGTCACGGCGCTGCGTATCTAATATGAGGCCAAAGCTGGATTAAGCATTTAACGGAAGCAGTAAAGGGCGTCTTGAATCACGAGGAGCATCTGCTTGAGAGAGATTCCTTAACCTTGGTAGCTTGAGAGGACCGTGTGATATCCCCAAACTCTAACTGCCTTCTGTAAACAGAGTTCCAAGTAGTCTGAGCTCACTGGAAATACAGCACTCTAGTATTACAGCCTTACAATCCCCAACATAAGCTTAACTTTTTGTGCTGAAACAATTCCCCAAGTAGTTATTCCCTCTGGTGTTGAAGGTGATACCTGAACAGATTCGATAGTTGAGCCTGGATTAAAACCATGTCGTCATTTTAAAACCCGTAGCACCGGTGGCAAAGCATCCATCACAAATCACAAAGCCAAAGAAAAGCCCAGATCTCTATGCCACCCTGTGCTGTGTCATCTGTGCATTGGTCACCATATTAAGCAAATATTTGCAATAAGATCGCCTCATAAAAAGCATTTTTAATCAAATTATAAAATATGTGATATGTTCTGTGTACTCTTTCCTGACACACATGCAACTCTGTTGAATCGTCAGACTATCTACAATCATTTATTGTGCCAGTTTATGGCTTCAGTAAACTAACCAACTCCAACAATCCAGAAACAGGTGTGTACTACTGCTTAACTTTTAAAACCCTCCTGACTTTTCGTCAAGTGATGACTCCTCAATGGAAATAAACATACTTAAGCCTCTGCAGTATTCCACATTCATAGAGACCACAAATGTTGTTCACCGCGTGATTCGCAAAAGTTAGACTATTTTAAAACCCGGGAAAGCCAAAGAAGGTGAAATGTAATATCATTGCCAGAGAAGAAGTGCAGTGGGCCGATGTCAACAAGTGGAACAGCTGGCAATGAGGAAAGACGCTCTCTCCTTTCAACCCACAGCTGAAGGCAGAGCCCTCACCATCCAAATCTGTTCATGTATTGTCACAAGTCAGTTAGTTGTTTTTTTTTTGTTCTAACTGGAACTTGATTCACATGTATTTTATGCCCCATTGTTTAATTTTCAGTCAGATGTAAAAAAGGAGATAAAGATTTTTTTTTTCTGCCGTCACATCTCCCATTTGCCTGATTACATAAATGTGCTTCCGTGTTTGCATTGATGACCTCCAACATTACTGACAAGCATCTATTGATTTACCAGTTTTGTTGTGGTTGGCAGCCGGGCAAATGAGCAGAGAGAGACTGCTCACACCACTCAGACTACTACAGCAACTACTAGAATATTGTCGAACGACACAAATGAATGCACAAGTGTTTTTAGAGCCCGTGGCAGGACTCTGGCCTGCACATAGACAACTTTTTAATTCGAGCAACGCTCAGTGTCGGTCGGTCGACCTCAGACTGAACTATTGAATGGATTGCCTTGGAATAGATATGTTCTTTTTTTTAATGATGAAATTCTTTGTGATCCCCTGCCTAGGCCATCTCAGGCGAAATCATCAATTTGTCCGAAACTTTGGTTTAAGCCCAAACATACTTTGCATTGCAACAGCTAAACATGCTAAACTAAGATGTCTAACATGGTACACAATATACTTGCTAAACATAAACACACACTAGTATTGTCAGCTGTCAGAGATGTTCTTTTTGTTAAGGGCTAGCAGATGTTAACATGCTAAGATGGTGACCATGGTAAACAATTAGCTAAACATCAACATGCGAGCATTGTCAGCTATCTCAGTTGTGCTTTTTGTTTAGGGCTAGCACATGTTAGTATTCTAACATGCTAAGCGAAGATGGTGGCCATGGTAAACAATTTGCTAAACATCCACATGCTAGCATTGTCAGTTAATTGTTCTTCTTTTAGTGCTGGCAAATGTTAGCATGCTAGATTATGCTAAACTAAGATGGTCACCATGGTAAACAATATAGAATACCTAATAAACGGCAACATGCTAGTATTGTCAGTTGTCTCAGCTCTACTTTTTGTTGAGGGCTAGTTAATATGCTAATATGCTAAAACTAAATTGATGACCACGGCAAACGTCATACCAAAAACTAAAACAAAGGC